GCAAGAAATTGCAGAAATCGCTTTCCAGCCAAAAATATTGGAAATTGCAAGCATTTGATTGAGGGACATTGCAAATGCCCGTAAATATATGACTGGTTGTGAAGTGCCCAAAATACACTATTAGAAGTTTGAATCTCCATCGTAAGAACAATTTTGGGGGGTCCGTCATAACTTTGAACATTCACTAAGCGACCAGTCATAAATCAAGGACTAACAATTTGGAAATATCTACTGATTTATCTTATTTATATAGCTGCCCATCTTATACCAAAAGCAACTCAGGGAGGAGTACAAGAAAGCTATCGCACGTGATCCTCGACTTATGACCACAATTGAACCCAAAATGTCCGTTGCTGAGCAAGACCGTTGTTAAGTGAGTTTTGCCCCCTTTTACAACTTTTCTTGCCACAGCTGTTAAATGAATCCCTAAATTAGCATTTAGTCATTAAGCCAATCTGGCTTCCCCATTGACTTTGCTTGCCACAAGGTCGCAAAAGGGGATCACTGCAATCGTCATAAATACGAATTGCCTGCCAAGCTCCTGAATTTCAATCGTGTGGCCATGGGGATGCTGCAACGGTCGTAAGTGTGAGAAATGGACATAAGTCACTTTTTCGAGTGCCTTTGTTAACTTGTTATGGTCGTTAAACAAATGGTTGTAAGTTGAGGACCTCCTGCACATGCCAATGTGGTTTTTTTTCTTGTTATTTATAGCGCAATGCTAAGTATAAATTTCCCTTTTTTTAAAAAAATCTGTATTTCAGATCTCTTCTCTCCCCCCCCCGCCCCTCATTTGTCTGTCTCGGCTTTTGATTTATTTATTTTTCTCCTGAGCTGACATATTTTTTCCCACAGGCCTGCAGGCTAAAATAACTTGTGTGTTTTGTTGAATACTGGTCTTTTTTTTTTCCATAAATGCTCAAGTCAGATACAGCTCCATCAACTATTGGCATCTCTTGGCACAGAGCTATTTTTGCAAAAAATAAAATAAAAATCTCTTTTTTATCTTTTTTGAGTTAAGGAGAAGCATGTAGATTGGTGTGATAAGGGCACATAAGCAAGAAAAAAGGGGGGAAATTCAAAAATGGCTAAAGACTGTCCAGCAATTTCTTAACGTGGTTTTTCTCCACCTGGGGCAACTTAAAGATTGGTGGACTTCAACTCCCAGAATTCCCCAGGCAGCATGGGGGAATTCTGGGAGTTGAAGTCCCCATACCTCCTTGCTGCCCAAGTTGAGAAAAACTATCTAAAAGGAATATACCTTCTTTTTTTTTTTTTTAGAACTGCCTTTCTATACTACCCACTGAGTTTAATCAACATTTTTTTTTATTTTCTCCTATTTTTGCTTGCCTTGCAGTCTTTCCAGGGAAGTCAAGGGCGAGCCTATCTCTTCAATTCAGTGTGAGTGTTTTGTGTTTTTGTTTTTTAAAGTGTTGTGGTCGTTGGTCTTCATAAAAAATATCTCACCGTAGCTTTTCAATCACGGCTGCCTGGTCTTGTGACAAAATTAGCCAACAGACAGGACCGTTCGCTGCAATAGTTTTAACTTTGCTCTTCTTTTTAAGGCTATCTGTAGCTAGAGGACTAAATAAAACTTCCAGATGGGGAGGAAATTATCTTATTACTGAAAGATAAGCTGTAAGGAACAGCTGTGTTACTCTTAGTGGCTTGCCTTGCTGATAGCAGAGAATAACAGGGTGACAGAATAACAGAGTTGGAAGGGACCTCAAAGGTCCTGTAGTCCAACCCCCCCCCCCCCCCCGCTCAAGCAGGAGAATAACAGAATAAAAGAGTTGGAAGGGACTTTGGAGGTCTTCTAGTCCAACCCCCTGCTTAGGCAGGAAACCCTACACCACTTCAGACAAAGGGTTGTCCAACCTCTAAAACCTCCTGTGTTGGAGCAGTCACAACTTTTGGAGGCAAGTTGTTCCACTGATTTAATTTTTCTAACTGTCATGAAGTTAGTTTTAAGATTAAGATTAGTTTTTACCTGTTGCTTCTTGTCCTGCCTTCAGGTGCTTTAGGAAATAGGTTGAACCCCACCACACACAAACTTCTTTGGGGGCAACCCCTGAGATATTGGAACACTGCTAACCATATCACTTCGTTTCATTAAACTAATTAGGAAATAAAAATGGAACACAATCATAGGGCTGGATAAGACCTCATCGTTCTTCTAATCAGAAATGGTGTAGGTCTCCAGCTTGGGCAGGGGGTTGGACTAGATGACCTACAAGGTCCCTTCCAACAATCGATCCAATCTCCTGTCCCAGGCAGGAGACCTTCCTGGACTATCCCAATCAAATGGTTATGCAACCTACTTTAAATAACCTCCAGTGATAGACCATTCACAATTCCTGAAGACAAGCCATTCCACTGGTTAACTGTTCCACAGTAACTGGTCAAATAATTTTCTCCTTATTTTTAGGTTGGTTCTCTTGATTACTTTCCATTCATTGCATCTTCTCAAAAACCCAGTTAGTTGAAACGTTGGTTTGAATGAGCTTAACTCCTCACAGGGATGTTGGGGGGTTTTGGTATTTTTTTAAAAAAATTTGGAAGGAAAATGTAGTTTTTTTCATGATTCGAACGAAGGCCTATACAGAATATAGTTGTCTTTCTCTACGATGGAAATCTTGATAAGCTGCCTAATTGCAGCGTTTCTCAAATTTCGCAACTTTAAGATATGTGGACTTCAGTTCCCAGAATTCGAGTCACGCTGGCTAGGGAATTCTGGGAGTTGAAGTGCCCATGGCTTAAAGTTGAGAAGCGTTACCCTACAGCATGAGTCTCCAAAGTTGGCGATTTTAAGACTTCTGGACTTCAGTTCCCAGAATTCCCCATGCTGGATTCTGGGAATTGAATTTCACAAGTTTTAAAGTTGGCAACTTTTGAAACTCCTGCCTCCTAGGCACAATCCCAAGATTGCCAACAGCCAGTTCAATTCAAGTTTTTCCAATCTTGGATGCCAAACATTTTCTCCACAATTTAGTTTTTCATGAAAAAGGGTGTGAGATTACAAGAAACCGGGCTGCCCCTGGCCTATTTTGGAGATAAATGAAGACATGAGATTAAAAATGGAAAAAAATGACAAAGACTAGCTACTCCTGTATGCTTTTTCTGTACAGATTATCCTTGTTTAACAACCACAATTCAGTCTGGCAACTTGGTTGTTAAGGAGAATGGTTGCTAAGTGGAATCATAACTCTTGTTATGATGAAGTTTCTGCTTTTCATTGCTTTCTGGACCAGAGAAGGCCATAAATGCAAAAATTGGTGGCAAAGTTTATTTATTTGCCATTTGTCTTAAACGATATAGGGTTCCCTGTTTGAGCAAGGTCCCTTCCAACCTGTTATTCTGTTATTTGTATTTATTTATTAAGTTTGTCTCGCTGCAAGGTGAGGTTATTTTCTATCATGATTGTAACTGACAGCAGTCGTTAAACAAGGCAGTTGCTAAGTGAGGACTGTACCTAAAACCAGGATACACCTACTGTCAGGGTTCCGGCAGTTACTCCAATTAAATCATGACCCTCGAGCCACACTCCCAAAACTAAAGAGGGTTTATTTGAAGCTACCATTCTACCTCTGGCACTAACCTGGGCGTAGCCAACTCTGAGATACGTAATTCACTGTCACCCTTGATCCAGCTTCCCCCCCCCCCCACCCCTCTGGGTGTATCATCCACTGAAAAACGCCCATAGCCAAGAGTCATCAATCATGCTCTCCAATTAGATTTTTTCGTGGCAGAAGCTTCAGTCATCTAATCATCCTACCCCACAAATACGTGCAAAGATTAGAAAGCAAAACTCTTAACACAAAGATTGTCAAGTTGTCCCAAACTGTAAAAATCTTCTGCCTCCCTAAAAATAGGGCATTACCACGGCTGGGATTCAGCCGGTTTGGGTTGAACCAGTCGTTAAATTTACATCTGGTTCACCGAACCGGTAGTTGAACCAACCGGCTGGCCCCTCCTGCCTCTCCCAGGAGTCTCCACGCGGCCCATTTTGTATGCAGGTCAGTGTAGGGTCCATGCGGGGACTCTGGAAGTTCCGGAAGTCCAGAAATGGGTCTGTTTCCGGCTTCCAGAGGGCCTCCGGAGCCCAGGGGAGACCATTTTCACCCTCCCAGAGGCCCGAGGGAAGCCTCCGGACTCTGGGGAAGGCGAAAAATGTCCCTCCTGTAATTTCCAGAAGTCTGGAAACGGATCTGTTTCCGGCTTCTGGAGGGCCTCCAGAGCCTGAGGGGAGGCCTTTTTTGCCCTCCCAGAGGTCTGAGGGAAGCCTCCAGACTCTGGGGAAGGCGAAAAACTGCCCTCCTGGAAGTTCCAGTAGGCCACACCCACCATGGCCACGCCCACCCAGCAACCGGGCAGAGAACCGGTTGTTGGGATTTTTTGAATCCCACCCCTGGGCATTACAACGATCCATATCTTTTGAAATAAACAAATATTGCATGGTTTGGATGTCTCCTCCTTGGATCTTGTGAGATCTAGGGCAAAACCTTGCCTGGTACAGTGGTGTGGCCTGAAATTGTACAAGGTTTGATGTGAGGTCACCCATCACACCAACCCTAATATTTGAATGTAATATTTGAATGTTTAATTCATTTTATTTGGGGGCCTCCATGGGGTGGGATTCTACCGGTTTAGCCCGGTAGCTCCGAAGAGCAGATGACACCGAACCTGTTCAATCTGAAGATCTCCTTTGCTTAGGTTGGGCCCACCTGCCCACCCGGGCTCTAGGCTGTCCTTTATTCCCTGCTAAAGCAACCTTAGTTGCTTTGCGTGGCACAGTGGAGTGCCACGCATCAGCAGACGGTTATTGCTTTCTGGAGAAGTTGGTTTACAAGGACTGCGTATGCGCACACGGCAAAGCGCATGCTCACCAAACCGGTTGTTACGCCGGTAGGATCCAACCCCTGGGACATCCATGGTTACCTTGGGTGCTGGGTGCCAACCCATAATGTATCCTGACTGTACATCAAAGGTGCATAATCTACTAGTAATAAAAGCATCTGTGAGATATCTCAATATTAAATATGATGATGCTCTGGGAGACATGCATGGTTTCGGCCACGTTTGAATCAATCAATGAATCAATCCGAATAGAGCTGGGAGGGACCTTGGAGGTCTTCTAGTCCAGCCCCCTGCTCAAGCAGGAGACCCTAGACCATTTCAGACAAGTGACTGTCCAGTCTCTTCTTAAAAACATCCAGTAATGAAGCACCCACCACTTCTAGTGGCAAGCTGTTCCACTGGTTAATTGTCCTCACTTTTAGGAAGTTTCTCCTTAATTCCAGGTTGCTTCTCTCCTTGATTTGTTTCCACCCGTTGCTTCTTGTCCTGCCTTCAGGTGCTTTGCAGAATAGCTTGACTCCTTCTCCTTTGTGACAGCCCCTCAAATACTGAAATTCTGCTATCATGTCCCCCCCTGATCCTTCTTTTCTCTAAACTAGCCACACCTGAATTCTGCAACAGTTCTTTATATGTTTTAGTCTCCAGGCCTTTAATCATCTTAGTTGCTCTTGTTTGCACTTTTCCCAAAGTCTCAACAACTTTTTGGTAATGTGAGGATCAAACTTGGATGCAGTATTCCACATATGGCCTTACTAAGGCTTCCTAAAGTGTATTAATATTTCACATGAATTTGTAAAAAAAAAAATCAATGTAAAATTTGTGAAAAGCTGACTTTGTTTTTTTAATATTTCTGTAATATACACCCTGGAGAAGTGATATCAACCTTGGTGACTTTATGAGGTGTGGACTTCAACTCCCAGAATTCCCCCAGCCAGCCATGCTGGCTGGGGAATTCTGGGAATTGAAGTCCACCCTTCTTAAAGGGACCGCGTTTGAGAAACACTGCTCTGGTAATACACAGCTGGTAATACTTGACAATCTGTGACAAAGTTAATAACTTGCTCCTTCGGTGAAATTAAGCTTTCTCTCTCTCTTCCCATCCCCTTGTTCCCTGCAGAGTCAACGTCGGCTGCGGTCCTGCGGAGGAGCGAATTCTGCTAACGGGACTTCATGCAGTGGCTGATATTTACTGTGAAAATTGCAAAACTACACTTGGTTGGAAATATGTGAGTGGTGAAGGGTTGCTTCTTATTCTGTTATCAAGGGCCGTATATTATTTTTCACCCCTGAGACTCTGGCTTTCAGGGAGTCGGTCAGTGGTGGTATTCAGCCAGTTCGTACCGGTTCAACCGAACCGGTAGCAAGGGTTTGGCGTGGGTTGCCAAACCAGTAGTAACTTCTGGCTGGCCACGCCCCTGACCCAGTGGCTCCTCCTCTCCCTGCCCAGTCAGTCCTTATCGCGCATGCGCAACATTGCGCACGTGCGCAACATTGTTGACTCGCTCTTCCCTGCCCAGTCACTCCTTAGGGTATTTTCCCCGCTCCCAATGATCAGCTGTTCCTACGATCAGCTGTGCTGGGATCCCCCTCGCTGTCTTATTGCTTCACCCAGGAGGTTTGCCTGAGGCCCAGGAGGCCCCAAAATGGAGTGTTGTGTGGGTGCTGTATGCCCCCCACCAGGCTCCATTTTTTTTCCTTCCAGATCCCCAGGGCAGCCTTCTGGGAGCAAAAACGCCCCCCCAAGGGACTTGCCTGAGTCCCAGAGGGCCCCAAAATTGTTAAGTTAGTTAACATGGTTGTGTAAATGAATCTGGTGTCCCCGTTTGGGGACTTTGCTTGTCAGAAGGTCCCAAAAGGGTATCCTAGGACATTGTCACCGTCATAAATCCAGTAGTCCTCAAAGTTATGACCACAATTCAGCCCAGAATTCACGTTACTAAGTGAAACATTGGTTAAAGTGAATGGACTGCCGTCTACGACTTTTCTTGCCATGGTTGTTAAAATGAGAATCTCACAGAGAAGCTTGTAACCCTGGTTGTTAAGTGAATTACTGCGGTTGTTAAGTGAATCTGGCTTTCCCCCATTGACTTTGCTTGTCTGGAGGTCGCAAAAGGGGATCACGTCATAAATAGGAGCCCGTTGACACTTGCTACGGACACCTGCTACGGTCGTAAGTGTGAAAAACTGTCCTTAAGTACATTTTTTTTCAGCGCCATTGTAACTTTGAGCAGTCACTAAATGAACCGTTGTAAGTTGAGGACTAGCTGCACTTAATTCTCTCTGGATGGTTTCCAGGGAGCTGTATGCCATCCACCTGAATAAGATTAAGGGCAAAAGCGATGTAATTTTATTAAGCCTTTTAGATGATACTAAAAGCAGGCAGCAGAAGGAAAGATCATAGAAAAGAAGGGGCAGAGAGTCAGTCATCAGTAACCGAGTTTAAACATGCTTGGGATAAATAAGATAAATAAATAAGTGTTCATCGCCCAAGGAAAAAATTAAAATTAAAATACAGGTAGTCCTCGACTTACAACTGTCCATTTAAGGACCATTCAATGTTAATGTCAGGGTTCCAACCAGTGGTGGGATTCAATTTTTTTTACTACCGGTTCTGTGGGCATGGCTTGATGGGTGTGGCATGGCTTGGTGGGCGTGGCTTGGTGGGCATGGCAGGGGAAGGATACTGCAAAATCCCCATCCCCTCCCCACCCCACTAACCTGCTTTCCAGCTCCGTTCTCCTGTGCAGGGCAAGCAAAGAAGACCCAGCCAATCAGCTGGGACTCGGGAGGCGGAGAATAGATGGGGGCGGGACCAGCCAGAGGTGGTTTTTGCCGGTTCTCTGAACTACTCAAAATTTTTGCTACCGGTTCTCCAGAACTGGTCAGGACCTGCTGAATACCACCCCTGGTTCCAAGTAATACACCCATAGCAAACAGAACTCCGAAGCAAGTCAATTTCTCAAAGAACAAGTTTTATTGGATATATCATATTGGCACAGACTGGCGAAAACCGACACTGAAAGGTTCCCGCGGTTTTCACCTAATTAAAAATTAAAGTTTTTCCCCCTTTCCCCAAACAATCAGTCACATGGTCCAATCGAGGTGCCCTCCAGCCGCCTGGTAACGTCACTCTTCCTCTCTCTCTGACCAGGTGTGAGAATGTCCTTGATTCCCAAGAGAAACTATTTTGTTTTGACTACAAAAAAACCCAGCTCTCTCTCTCTCCCCCCCCCTCCCATCCCTCCACTCCAGGGTGGCAACCCTGAAGCCTCAAAATGGCTTCGGCCAAGTCAGTTTCAGGGTGAGCAGTTAAAACAGCTGTGAAAAATGTGACTTGCAATAATTTTTCACACCGTTGCCAGGAATGGGATTCTACCGGTTCAGCCAAACTGGTAGTTCCAGTGAGCATTTGGCCCTGATCCCCTGCTCTTGCTGTTTCCTGTGCTTTATTTCCTGGTTATTTTTTTTAGCACAGCTGATTCACTGTTTTAGACCCCCGGGGCTGCAAGTTAGAAGGTAAGTCATTGTGTTGAAAATGGGCTTTTTAAAATTTAGAGCACATGCGCGAAGCGAAGAGCACGCTCACTGAACCGGTTGTTATACCAGTGTCAGGACTCCAGCAGTGACCCCCATTTAAATCATGAGCCTCGAGCCAAACTTCCAAAACTTACAAAGGATTTCTTGGGAGTTAACTCAATAACGTGCCTGGGTGTATCATAATTCATATTCTCCAATGGGATACATCCATAGCCCAGAGTCATCAATCATGCTCTCCAGCTAGAATTTTGTGTGACAGAAACTTCGGTCACCTAGTTACTATCTTTGAAAGACATTTATGGAATGCAGTTTCATTTTTGCAAGCTGCTACACTGCTCCCCCCCCCCCTTTCTATTGGCAACTCTAAAAAGACCATAGAAATATTTTATGAGTTGACAACTGGTTGAATCGCACCACCCCCCGTGGTCATGTGATCCGAATTCAGGGGTTTGGCAACCGGCTCGTAGTTATGATGGTCGCAGCATCCCGGGGTCACGTGATCCCCTTTTGCGACCTTCGGAGCAGCAAAGTCAAAAGGAAGCCAGATTCACTTAACAACCAGGTCACTAACTTAACAACTGGAGGAGGGATTCACAACAGCCATGGCAAGGAAGATCATAAAATCGGCCAAGACTTTCATTTAACCCCTGTCTTGCTTAGCAGCATACTTTTTTTTTTGGCTCAATAGTGGTCATAAGTCAAGGATGGCCCCGTAATTTTTTTAAAAAAATTAAAATCATTTAAAAATTACAAGGGAATAAATGAATTAAAAAAAAAGGAAAAAAAACTCAAAAAAGGGTTGACTCGATGAAAGAAAAGGACTGGGTCTTTTTCTAAATGTTCTACATTTTCTATGTTCCCAAGAAGGTTTTCTTTAGCCTTGCTGAGAACAGCTTGACACAAACCAGAAGGCGGATATTTATCTGTTGTGTTATACGCTGAGTTGTGATTTCAGTAGGAATCTATCTTACTAAATAACTTATGGGGTTTTTTTGCTGCCAAAGGAAACACAGACTTTCAAATAGAGGAAGGATAAATCCCTCCGCATCCTACACGTTTTGAACAACTAAATTATATTTGCATACAGATAAATTACCACAGTTCATTTTACAATGGCAGTGGAAAAAGTGACTTATGACCATTTTTCACAGTTACGACTTTTGCAGCATCACCATCGTCACGTGATCATAATTCAGGTGCTCGACCGCTGACTAACGTTTATGACAGGTGCCCAAAGTTGTCCCAAAGTCATGCGATCAACTTTTATAACCTTCTGACAAGCAAAATCCATGGGGAAACCAGATTTACTTAATAAACCCAAGTTACTAACCTATCCACTGCAGTGATTCACTTAACAATGGTGGCCAGAAAGGTCGTAAAATGGGGCAAAGTTCACTTTACAAATGTCTCACTTAACAATAGAAATGTGTGGAATACCTGTAGTATATGTCGGGCACTTTCCAAATAGTCCTTGACTTACGACCCGAATTGAGCTTGGAATTTTGGTCATAAGTCGAGGTATCGTGTGATCGGGCCTTTTTTTAAAAAAAAAATAATTTAATTATTTTATGTTGGTTGTTAAGCAAACATGGCAGTCTTTAAGTGAATGAATGCAGTGGTCATTAAATGAACCTGGCAATTGTTAAGTGAACGCTGGGATCATAAACTGACTCAGTTCTAAACACAAGAAACTGGCAAAAAAAATGACAGCGTCCCCAAGGTCACATGATGAAAATTTAGATGCTTGGCAACTGACTCGTATTTATGACGGTTGCAGTGTCACATCATCCCCTTTTGCAACCTTCTGACAGGCAAAGTCAGTGGGGAAGCCAGATTCACTTAACAACTAGAAAGGTTGCAAAACGGGGGGAAATTCACGTAATGAATGTTTCACTTAGCAGAAATTTTTGGCTCAATTACGGTTGCAAGTCGAGGATTATCTGCAGGTTGTAAGTAGCTTTGGCCGGGGGGGGGGGGGGGGGGGGGGGGAGGTGTCATAATTTCAAACAGTTGCTAAACAATCGGTCGTAAGTTGAAGACGACTTGTAATAAATAAGCTTATGAGCTGGATTTCTGCAGGACAGACTCTGTCAAACGGACCAGCGTGCACACTTTAGACCTGTGATATTTTAAGAAAATAACGTTATTCTCAATTTCTCACCATTTACGTCTGTGGCTTTTCACACCAAGCAAAGTGTTTTTCAATTCAGGCGCCTCGGTTCTGTTGAAACTCTAGCGAGCTGCTCCTTTGCTACACTATAAGTAGTCCTCGACTTGCAACCGCAATCATCATCTTTTAAACACCCCTCTATAATCCCTTGCGAGGTGGAGCCTGGGCAACTGAATGGAGCTGAGTGTTTACTGGCCAGATGACCTTCCTGTTGCCAGTGTGGAGTTTTATTCGGTCGATATATTCTCAAGTGTGCCCAAAAGAGAGAAATATCTGCCTGTATTTAGGATCGAACTCACAGCCTCCTGATTGTGAGGCGGGAACTCCACCTCTGCACCGCTCAGACTTAAGACCGCAATCAAGCCCAAAATTTCTACTGCTCAGCTCAAGACAAGGCCTCAGGGAAGCACATCCTGGGGAACTAGTAAGACGGCGAGGGGGATCCCGGGGCACAGCTGATTGTTGGAACAGCTGATCATCGGGGCGGGGGGGGGAAATACCGCAAGGAGTGACTGGGCGGGCAGGGGAAAAATGCAGCCAGCGGTGTCGCGCATATGTGATAAGAACTGACTGGGTGGAGAGGGGAGGGGCCAGCCAGGGGCAAAATTTGCAGGTTCTCCAAACTCTGCAGAATCGGAAGAACCGGTTCTACAGAACTAGTCCGACACCGGTAGAATCCCATCCCTGGTTCCCCTCCCCCCCGCCGCCCCGTTTTGTGATCTTGCTTTGACCAGGTTGTTAAGTGAATTGCTGCTATGATTTAAGTTAATCACAGGATTGTTAAGTGAACCTGGCTTCCCACTGTCAGAAGATTACCAAAGGTGACCCCATGACCCCCAAGACACTTCAGCCGTCCTAAGTCCATGTCCGTTGCCAAAGATCCAAATTTTGATCACCTGACCACAGGGATCTTGCAACGCTCGTAAGTGAGAAAAATGGGCAGAAGTCACTTTTTTCAGTTCTGTTGTAACTTCGAATGGTCACTAAAGAAATGGCTGTAAGTCAAGGACTACCTGTATAGTCATAACTAGGGGTCTTGGGTTAAAATCTAGCAAATAATAGCTCTGTCCATTTGAAGAAGTGATCCACCCTTCTCTTTGGAAATTAAAAAATAAAAACCAATGTTTAGAATTACAGCAAGAATTACCTAAAGTTTCGTTCCAATAATTCATTCATTATTCAATTCAAATATTTATAGTGTGCCCTAGATCGATACATCTTAGGGTGAGGCACAATCAATAGAGAATAAAAGCCGAGCGGGGGAAAAAGCAACCTTGATCAAAACAAAAGCGATACACCAAACTTTCTCAATTCGAGAACCTTCCAGATGGGCTGGCTTCAACTCACAAATTTTTTTTTTAAATATTTTATTTTTGATGAAACCAGAATAGAGTAGATAGGATGGGACGAGGGATAGAATAGGAATAGGAATAGAATAGAAATAAGAAGAATAAGAATAAGAAATAGAATAGGAATGGGAATAGGAATAGGAAAAAGAATAGGACAGGAATAAGAAGGGAATAGGAATAAGAATAGAATAGGAAATAGAATAAAACAGGACAGAACGGACAAGAATAGACTAGGAATAGGGATAGAATAGGGATATGGATAGGGATAGAATAGAATAGAATAGAATAGAATAGAATAGAATAGAAGTTGAAAGGGACCTTGGAGGTCTTCTAGTCCAACCCCCTGCATTTCCTGATATTTCCTATACCCATGATGGCGAACCTATGGCACACGTGCCACAGGGGGCACACAGAGCCATTTGTGCCAGCACGCGAGCCGCAGGCAAACTTACCTCACTGCGCATGCGCGCGCCTGACAGCTGATTTTCAGCCTGTTTGAGGCCTTTTTTGGCCTCCCAGAGGCTTGAGGAAAGCCTCTGCAGCCCAAAAAATAGGCCCGTTTCGTCACTTCCTGTATTTCTGGAAATACCGGAAGTGACGAAATTGGCCTATTTTTGGGGCTGCAGAGGCTTTCCTCAAGCCTCTGGGAGGCTGAAAACCAGCTGGGAGGCTCAGTGCAGGTAAGAGAGTAGCGGGGGGGGGGGATTGCGCCCACATGCGCAGGGGGCAGGCACATTGCCTTCTCGATGCTGGCACACAGGCGCGCACACAATTTTTGGCACAGGCGCCCCAAAAGGTTAGCCACCACTGCCCTATACCATTTCAGACAAATGGTTGTCCAATCTCTTCTTAAAAACTTCCAGTGTTGAAGCATTCACAACTTCTGGAGGCAAGTTGTTCCACTGATTAATTGTTCTCACTGTTAGGAAATTTCTCCTTAGTTCTAAGGAGAGTCACGATGCAAGCACGCTCCTCCTGTAGGTGTGACACTGCCACAAACATACAAAAGTGGGAGACTTTATGGTGCCATCATTATCCCCTTGGATAGGATTTTGAAAATTGGAAAAGAAGGATGTATTAGATCAGGGGTCCCCAACCACCGGTCCGTGGACCGGTACCGGTCCGCGGAACAACTCCTACCGGTCCGCGGCTTGCTGGGCGCTGCCATCTTTTTTTCATGAAAAAGTGCTTCTGGTGAGCTTTTCCGGGTAGAAAGCTCACCGGAAGCACGTTTTCATCAAAAAAAGATGGTGGCACCCAGCTGATGCCGGTACCGGGCCGTGGCGTCAAAAAGGTTGGGGATCACTGTATTAGATTATTATCTTTTTTCAAACTTGACAACATTAAGATGTGTGGACTTCAACTCCCAGAATTCCCCAGCCGGCTGGCTGGGGAATTCTGGGAATTGAAGTCCACATGTCTTAACATTGCCATGTTTGAAAACCCCTGTATTAAATCAAGGGATGCTAGGACCAAAATGGGCTTGGATATATTATCTGGTTTTTAATTTCCGGTAAAATTAAGCCAATGCTGGCCATATTCTGCTCTAGGCATTCCAAAATGTCCTCTGATCTTAAGAAATAGGATCCTTCCATCTCCCCTTTCCTCCATCCTGTTGGAACTACTTTCTCCATCGCCCCTACTATTCTGGTAGATCCGATGAAGCTTCTTGGATGAGAAGGGAAACCTCTTCTTCCTCCAGGAAAAAATAACCCCAGTCCTTTTGACAAAGAGCCTTTGGGTTTAACCTCGTCGTTGTGGTTAGCCGGCAGCAGGTGCAGATGGCTGAGGAGAGCGATGACTCTGATGAGGGGCCAGGACCATCAGGGAGTGCACTGCTGCCTTCAGAGATTGTGGGGGCTGGCAGCAGTGATGAGGAGGTTCCCGAGGAGCCTGTGCCAAGTGCACGTGCACGAAGGATTACTCGGAGGAAAGAACAATTACAGCAGCACGGGCGACTCAGGAGTCAGGCTGCAAGGTCATGGCTCCTCCCTCAAGAGGATAAAAGTCAGGTTTGGAAAAGCGTTCTTTGCAGACAGCAAAGAAGCTCTGAAGCTCAACTGGTGGACATCTTAGTTTGTGTTTGGAGAATCTTGTAAATTAGTTCTTATCTCTGGGTTTTTGGCAAAATTGATGGACACCTTGGCAAGACTCTTTCTAGTCAGAGCTGATTCGTGGAAAGCAGCCTTTTATCTGTAAAACTGGGGGCTGCTGCCTTTGTCTGTGTTTGCTCTTTGGGAACCCAGTTGGCTCAGAACATTCGTGAATGTTTTAAGGAAAAGCTTGAACGTGACTCTTTCAAAACCACGCATCTCCCTTCCAGATTTTGTTAATGCCTTTTTCTTCTTGTCGTTGTCGTTTCAAAGGAACATGCCTTTGAGAGCAGCCAGAAATATAAAGAAGGCAAATACATCATCGAATTAGCACACATGATCAAAGATAATGGCTGGGATTGAACCGCCGATGGAAAAGGAAATGACATCCGATCCACGCCGAGCGTTCACTCTTCCGACTGAACATTTTATCTCCGAGAACGAGCAAGCGATTGGCACTCTCTGGGTGCCACCACACCTTTGGGGCTGTGGGCTTCGTTGTCATCCTGAGACCACGCTTCCTTGCGCGCACACCCTCTCTGCCGTCCTGAATCAGCGACCGTCCACCACTCCGTCTCTTTGCTTTTCGTATCTGTTTGTGAGTCCAAACTCAAGTTAGCGTGTCCTAGTCTTCCTCTTTCACTGTTCTGGCATTGTGTGGCATTGTGTTTCTTCTTCCCTTTTTTTTTTATTTTAATGACAACAAAAAGCAAGGAGTGAACCCAATGCCAAACGGTTATACAACTTACGTCTCAGAAACTGACGGTTGCCTTTTGGGAGGGGAGGGGGCTAAAGTCAAGGTTTAGGACTCCTGAGGGGAGAAACTCAACGATTTGGGGGTGTGGGACAGATGAGAGAGAATGAGTAGGGTTTCTGTCAACCCCTTTATCCTTTTAAATCCTGACAAACCATGGCTTGAAACTTTGCGGACTGTAAATATATATATATATATATATACCTCATGCCTGTTTTTTTTTCTCTGCATCTCAAAAAAAAAGTTGTAGGCCTCCTAATTTTAGGCTAGCTAGTTCTACTATTCTCCAACCCACTACCTGTGTCTCCTTGGATCTGAGGTGGCTTCTCTTGTCTTTATGCTGAAGTTGATGAAAATAAAATTTTGATTTGAAAAGGGATGTTTTAACATCTTTGGTTTCTAGAGAATTAGCCCGCCCCAAAAGTCTGCAGAGATAAGCCTGATTATCTGGGGGTTGCTTGTTATTTTTGGGGGGATTGTAATCTAGCATCGCACAATTGAGGTTCCTCAAGGAGGTATGGATTGTGTCAAAAGCCAAAAGGGAGGCCGGGGGAGAAAGGGGGATGCAAGGAGAACATAGAAATGGAGGCTGAAGTCACTCTATATGTCTATTTACAGATGTCCTGGTTCTAGCAACTCCCGTAAAGTCTGCTGTGAGACATATTGATATTGCAGCTGGAGACTCAAAACTTAGTCCTCTTGTCTTGTCATTTTTTATTTTTTTTTAGAACGTCTCCTCACCCAGGAGCAGATTTTGGCCGTAACGTTGTGGGAAGAAAATATTTCAGAGCGTGAAAAGTGTTCAAATTTGAGTCAATCAGGAGGACCTGTGGGCCATCAGCTGGTGGTTCCATCCATTCCTTCACTCCTGTTTGGAGAGGTTGAGAAGCCCTCTTCCTGCATTACAGCCACCTTCTTTCTCCTCCGTGGCCTTCCAGAGGTTTAGCTCCGGTGGCTTAGAGTCACTGGACTTTCTTGAGAATCTTCCTTGCAAACGAGAATAAGAAGTTGGGTGGTGTCA